AAAAATGCAATATTAGTTTTGCTTAAAAAACAGTCATTTGGGGGGGGGGGATCAGTGACTGTGGTGTAACGTCATTTCATTCCACTTACTCTGGCAATAAAATCAGAAAAAGAAAAGAAAATCATTAAGGCAGCATACACATAGTACACATATACACATACACATGTCTACACATCACATCTCTTTCCTTTTATCGCTTACCTGAATATACCTCAACTTCACACAGTGTGAGGTATTCTTTGCGTCCAGGCACAATAAGGTTGACATATCGTCCTTTAATAGGCTTAAATGCAAATGATTTTGTGCCTCCAAGTGGGATGGGCCCAACAGCTGCTGCACTGTGAAAATACGCAGAAATAGGGGCATATTACATATACTTCTGTCTGTATTAGTTTTTTTAAAATTGCTTAGACACCAAAAGCGGCCCACTTAGTGAAGCCTTTCACTCATAAACCTAATCTTTAGTTTTGAGAAATGCGGTTCTAGTTTCAAAAGCTGTGTTTTATCATATTTACTCATTTTCTAATCATTTGTGTAAGTATTAAGAGATGGAGACAACACTTACAGCTCATTATTGTTGCCGTTATTGTCGAGACTGTTGCCAATACGGATCTGGATCCCCTCGATCCTCTTCTCACAACAGTCTCCACGATTAGTGACGCTAACCCTGGTTATCCTGTAGACGTCTCCCAAGTCCACTCTCCACCAGGGGTCCCTGTCCTCGTTAGTAATGCTGCATGACCCGCGTGCGTAGTTTGACTCCCTGTTGCCATCCACAGCATTATGAGCAGCTGTTAATGCATTGTATCTGGAAGACTGGACAGCTTTGCCTCCAAGAGCAAGATTCCCTGTTTAACATAAAACAACAGACAATTATTATGAACTTTAATGTTCTAGAGTATAATCCCAACATAATGGGGATTATACTTATCGTCTGGTCCTTCTTGAATTTAAAACACTTTAATCTCATCAATATGTCCATGCAATTTTTATTATTATTTTTTTTTTGGGGTGAAAAGCCATGTAATAAATCGTATAACTGACTGTATATTATCTCTGTATATTATTGCTTGTTTGTTCTGCAATGAATTATTGTTCTTCATGGAAGTTTGCATTTATTACAATGAGCTAATAAAATATTTCAGCTCAAATCCAGGACCATGCAGAGACCTTTGGAAGAGCAGGTGCTCAAAGTATAAAAGGCTGAGGTGAACAAAGAACAACTCTATTACTTGAGTCAAAGTACAGATACTGCTGGTCAAATATTACTCCATTACAGGTAAAAGTTGTAAAGACAGATTTTTGCTTAAGTAAAAGCACAGTACTAAATTTACTTTTTTATGTCAATGCACTGGTTTTATTATTGTTGTAATACTTGCAATACCTTACGCCTCTGAAGGAACTTACAATACATTACACCTACTGAATACACTGAATAGCTTGTGGTATCTTTGAAATTAAGAGTTTTTAGAATGTTAAAAACCTTAGAAATGAAACAATGAGTTGACCCCCCAAAAAATGTTTTAACACCCCTACCCACCCCCACAAAATCAGGATGGCAGTGATCACACTTTACAACACTTTAAAAAAAAAAATGCTCTCCGATTGCTTTCACTGCAGTTTATTGTCACACACAGAATGGTCTGTGCAGTGCTGCTTCAAGTCAAACACTTACTGTGTTTTATTAGGAGACACACAACAGTTCTTCTGTAGCTTTATAGGTAATATTTTCGTTTACACAATTTTGCAAAATCAGACAATATTGTGTCTAATATATACCACAATATTAACTTATTATTGAATTGTTGTAAATAAATATCACATTTGGAACTGATCAGTGTTCAAAAAAATGCTGGGAAATCACTTCACGTAATCCTCCAAGAGTGATTACTGATAAACTGTCTGAAAAAAAAAAAAAGTCACTTTGTAGAGAAGGGACACTGACTTTCACGGCTGCTACATAGCAACGACTTTATACTTCGAGAACCTTGGTAGAAATGTAGTGGAGTGAAAAGTATGATATTTCTCTTTCAAATGTGGTGAAGTTAAAGTCATACGTTTCCAGAAAAAAATAATACTCAAGTAAAGTACAGATACTCAAAAAGTGCACTTAAGTACAGTAATCAAGTAAATGCACTTCGTTACTGTCCACCTCTGATTAAAGGGGCACATGAAACAAGGCTTTATATAAGGCTGTGCTCAAAATATCAGTACAGCAATATATTGTGACACACTGCTTGCTGATACATGCATCGATACGGATGCTTCTGTATTGATAAAGCAGCAAATGCCATGATGCAGTTTTGAAAAGAAACAGAATAAAAAATACAATTTGAAGTTTTACACTTAAATAATATTTTTGTTGTATCTATTAATAACTCTGGGATTAGAAACTGCACTTATTATTATTACTGTTGTTATTATTATTAC